AAAAAAAAAAAAAAAAGTTTAAGAAGTTTTTTGTGTTATTGGTTTTCTTGTTCATACCCAGGGTTGATTTCTTAAACAGATTGGGTTTGAATGTCAGTGAAATCATAGATATAAGTAGTGGATGTTGCCTGTTCTTTCCATATTTGAATGAAGAATTGAGTAATCTTCTTTTACTAGTTTTTCACTGAGCTAGCTGGCATCATAATTTCTTCTTATTGTCTAAGAAATTTGTATTTTTTTAAAATTAATTTTGCATAAAGAAATAAAAAATGTTATAGGAGGTCCATTAAGTTCAGAAGTATATGGTTGTTGTTTGTGTTGAATATGAGGACACGGCCATTTGCTAAACAAACCCACCTGTATCGTTTACGGATGACCAGATGTATGGACTGTCAGTGCCAAGCAAATAAGCAAGGATTTCTAGAGCTCAAAACACAAGTCAATAATAAGTTGCTTCTTTTTTACAACTAGAATTTCATATGACAAGAAGTAATCTAAAAGTACTTAAAATACACTGGGAGAGAATATTTGGTTGAGGCCTTTCTTGAAAAAAGAATTTGAGGAAGCCGACTAAAAAGTGATTAAGTTTAATTTACAAAAATAAATTTTTTGATAAATAAATCGAAACATAATACAATTCGTTATGATAAAAAAGTAATTAATTATATAACCTTTTTCTTAAAAAAGTTATTTTACGGGATTCTTTAAGAAAGCAACACAATGGATTATAACAAAGAAATAATCAATTATATTTATATAATTACTTATTTTTTAATCAATTATATTATAAATATAATTAATTACTTTTTTTATTATATTATATCAAAAAATTTATTTTCTTAAGTTAAGCCGGATAATTTTTTAGTCAATTTTTTCAAATTCTTTTACAGGGAATTCCTCAACCAAATAGGCCCTCAATATTTTTTTATGAGTGCTGAAAGGAACAATTGCAAAGCAGTTTAGTTGCAGTGGCAATATTCACAAGAATCAGAATACTTGCAATCTCTGTATATACAGGCAGCAAACTACTTATTGAATAGCGGGCAAGTTTTGGAGCGGTTAACGTCAAAAATGCTTGGCATTTGGCAATCAAATTTTTACTAGGAGTTTTTCTGTCTCTTTATTCTCTCAAGAGTACTCCCATCCCTCCTCCGAACAACACCTCCTGCAAGCATCGAAGACGAAACATCTTTATGCACAATTTCAACTCTTTCTTCTTGCATGTCTATGTCTTCAGTGGCATCTGGTTCCATACCTCCAGTAGGCTGGGACTCCACTCCAGCACTCACAAACCCCAATATTCTGCTACTTTCCTGAGGGTTGACATTGTTGGATGCAGGGGACAATTGCCTCACAAAATGGGGGAGAAAAAGACTTGCCTGGGTATAACTTGCAGAAACAGTTCTTTTTGTCTTTAGCATTTCTCTGAAGGTATCTTCATCTCCATGCTGCACCTCAAACACATGCCACTTATTCCAAAAATCACCATCAGTGCATGGATCTGCAAATTGAGATGCATAATTGTATAAACACCGAGATCGGTCAATTTCTCCCAAGCTCTATTCTAGCTCTGCATACTTCAAACACATTGTCTTCACATCTTTAGCAGGAAGACCGGGCTCTATGGCCTGCTGATAGATTTTCCTGTTTTAGGAGTCCCAAATATTTCAGCTGCACAAGCAGTGTATGCCCGAGGCATGCTTAGTTTTTCTTCATTTGGTACTGCCTTGGTTGCCTCATCATAGATCTTCATAGCTCGCTTTGCTAGATCTCCAATTTTGCATATTGAAGGTACAGCTGCTTAACTGCATCAGCAGGTGCCTGAAACCACAAGCAAAAAGAAATATCAGCATCATAGCTCATTGGTAATATACAAAACTAAAAAATTAAATTGGCTTCCATACAACCTGTTTCTTAACTTGCTGACTGCAGAAGGATACTACAAATGAAATTATGCTCTTATACAAAACTAAAAGATTAAATTGCCTTCAATAAGTCACCAATTATACATGACTTATTTCAGGCTCTCATGCATTTCGCCAACACTTCCTGTGGGGACCTCTTACCATTTCAATAGACACTGTTTGACAGATCAGGGCTGTGATCAACTAGATGATTGGTTTAGCTAAACCATCTCCATATGTCAAATTTAAATCCCATAAATTTTTAAAAGAAAAACTAAGGAACACATCAGAAACCTTGAAATCCACATGGAAGAAATCAGAGACGTTCAAGGACACGCAGGAGAATCAGGTGAACGTGGATGCGCTGGCTGAGCCGTCGCAGGTTGTGAAGAAATCGGAAACGTTTAAGGACCGGACGAATTTCCAGCAGTCACCGACTCCATTGAAGCTGAGAAAGGAGCCGTCCCTGAGTCAGGACGAGTTGAATCGCCCAGTGGAAGCGTTTATAAAGAAGTTCAACGAGAAGATGAGATTGCAGAGGCAGGAGTCCATTAATCAGTACAATGAAATGATTAACCGTGTGAGCCACTGATTAGTTCTCCTAATTACTTATTATTAATTGAGGAGAGTTACACTGCAAACAGCACTTCTAACAGTGCACAAACTAGTAAAATAAAATGTCCATCCATTTCCTAGTTTTCACGACCTGAAGATATACCCTCTATAATGTTATTAAAAGGACAATGATATCAGAATACATATATAACCTTGCATGCATGTCCTCCCTGCTAAGATTGCAGACTTTTCCTTGTTAGTTAGTGAAAGCAAACTTTTTCAGTAATGACATGCAGGTATCCTATGATCAAAAGTTGTGCACTGTTGCAAGGAGATATGACCTATTTTCAGGCAACACACGCTAACCACAACTGCAAAAGGTAACAATGGCATGTGAATACTATCAAGAATTGAACAATGATATATTTTACAGTTAACACGGATCATAATCAAATAACAAAGAAACTTATTGTGTGGAATTTCATTTTAGTTTTGATCATCAAAGGCTTTAAACAAGACACTTTCTACACCATTTATGATTCTAAAAGTGTGCAACTAAAGAACTTCATCAAACAAAGAATTTTAGAAAACAACATTATTTTGTGTGCTCAAGACAACGAATCAACCACTTTTTTTAAAAATTTTAATTTTTCTTCTCTATTTTTATCACAACCAATGAACCAAATCATTTCCAGCCATCTAAACAGAAAGACTACATGGTTCCTAGAGCAGGAAACTTGGTTCTATCAATTTATTGGCCACCAAATGGAGTTGAAATTACTCACACAAAACAAATTAGTAGAAAGGAAATTTTAGATTAATATACAAAACTTGGCCACTAAGGTTGAAACTTGAAACTATGGATTCTGCCAAGAAAAAGAAACTTAGGAGCCTCAATCCATGTAACTGTAGTAGTCAACCTTGTAATTTGAAGAGACGCTGGAGACATTACATAACATGCTACACAATTTTCTTAGCTCATTACTGCCAAGAAAATGACATCTAGGATGTTTACTATTACATTACGTATACTAGCCTTCCACTTTTATGTTTAACATTTTTATTTCAGGTGATGATGCTCTACCGTCCCTGCAACTTTGAAATTGTTACTTCATTTACTGAAACACATTTAATCGGGCTTGATGAAACCTCTTCTTTTGGTAGATTCCTTTCAACGTAAAAACCAGGAAGTTTTGGTTGAGGCAATGGATTCTCACTGCCCAACATTAGAACCACGGATGACATATCTGGCCTGTCCTCTGGTCGTTTCTGAACACATAGCAAAGCCACATGAATGCAACGTAGAACCTTAGAAACAGTGTAAGAGTCACCTAACATGGTGTCCATTACTTCCAATGCTCTTTCTTCCATCCATAGTCTCCATACCTAAAAATATTAAATATCAAATATATGTGTAGCATTGAAGGCCAAAAACAAACATATATGTATGCCATTGTTCAAGAAAATAACATGTTGTTTCTTTATGCTTACATGTCCAAGAAGATTATGATTGTGATCCGGGTGGTGAAATCCTCTGTTCTTCTTCCCACTTATGATCTCGAGTACTATCACACCAAAGCTGAAGACATCGGATTTTATTGAGAAGTGTCCATCTACCGCATACTCAGGAGACATATAACCACTGCAAAAATGTCATTACAAGCAAAGTGAAAAATCTGTGGCCTTAGATACAAATACCTATATTCTGCATTATATTCACTTCTACTTACTAAGTTCCAACAACTCTTTTAGTTCTTGCTTCAGTTTGATCTCCCAGAAACATTCTCGCCAAACCAAAGTCTGAAATTTTTGGGTTCATGTCTTTGTCTAACAGGACATTACTTGCTTTGAGGTCCCTATGGATAATCCTCAATCTAGAATCTTGATGAAGATAAAGAAGCCCACGAGCAATTCCACCAGTGATGTGCATCCGCCTCTGCCAATCTATCAATGCCTTTTTCGTTTGATCTGGTAAATGTATGCATTTTAGTCCAGTTCCTCAAAGAATGAAAGTTTTTTTTTTTTTTTTTTGGGTACAAGAAGGATTGAGAATCAGACCAAAGATAAAGTAGTCCAAACTTTTGTTGGGCATATATTCGTAGATCAACATCTTTTCATCTCCTTGAATGCAGCA